TCAAAACACCACCCGAAACTCACCTCGGCAGCAGCTCCGCGCTCCCGCCCACGCTTCCGGGTTCCGGTGCCCGGCCGGAAGCGCGGCTCTACCATTGTGTGGGAGATGGGGGGGCGTGAAGGGAGAGGGGAAGGAAGCGGGAATGATGCTGAGGCTCAGGATGGTACCTGCCAGCGGTCTCGGGGGTGGGGGGAGCGGCAGCTCAGCCGCGCCGGAACGCGCTTGAGGGGGTTGTTGCCAAATGGAGTGCGCATGCGTGGCGCGATGGCGGCCGCTGGCTGCTCAGGCTCTGCCCGTGCGCTCGCCGCGGTGGGGGGGCGAGAGGCGCCACGGCCTCCTTCCCGGCGGATCAGCAGACCGCCACACCGGGCCCCTGCCGCGTGGCTATGTGCTGTGCTGCGCTGCAGCCCCTTCTCGACCCGGGCCTGGCTGTCTGCCCCCGTGATTACGCGCAGGGGAGAGGCTGTATGTGTCCCTGGAGCAGTTACGTCGTTGTGTCTTCCTAGGCCCTGCCGGCTGTAGGGCAGGTGTATGCGCTCGGTGGCAGCCAGGGCATGTAACGCTCTAGTAGTGAATGGGCTCAGCTTCTCCTCAGCGTGTGTCCCCCCCCCCGGCGCGGCCGGGAGGCCCGTTTGTCTGTGGCGGGGCTGCACCGCCGACTCCCTGCTTTCTAGGCTGCAAGCCCTGGGAGGCCAAACGGCCCCCGAGTCTGCATTTGCAACTTGTGTAATTGGCTGTTGATATGGCTTATCCGTTCCCAATCTGTTTGGTAGATGGGCTCTGCTGATAGCTGGCAGCCCCACTTCCCTGGACTGCCTTTGGCATAATTGATTCACCCCGTAATTGAGTCTTAATGGATTCCCTCGGTAGCTGTACCATGTTATTAATCCCTGCTGCAGGTCATGATTGATTTATAGCAGCAGTTCACAACCTTTTTGAATGCGAAGCACCCCTCCATAACTTGTGACTTGAATAGCATCTGAGTTTTAAAATGTAAGTTAGATTACTTCCTTGTGAAGAGGCCAGGCGGTGGGGGGGAGAGGTTGGCTAGTCAGTGACAAGCTTGCACTTATCTACTTATCTCTTTACACTTTCAAGCCTTGTGGCACCCTTCAAAGGATCTGACTACCCTAAGATACCTTAGTACCCTGGTTGAGAACCATTGACTCAGTATAATTGCTTCAAAGATAACTGATTTTACTGTTGAATGATATCAACAGCTGTTGCTTGTCTGCTGCTTGCTTCAGTCTATGATTATATACTGTACTGGGGATTTTCCCCAGGTGCTACCATCGGTGGACTTGGTGGCTCTTCTGTGGTCTGAAACCAAGGCTGCTCCCTCAGTGAAAATAGTAGTTCTGTCATTTTCATTAATATCGACGGCTTGTGAATACTGACTGTCAGGTTGAGGGCTGTCTCTTCCTTCTGTTTACTACCAGTAAATACATGGCGTGCTTCCTGTCCTTTATGCAAGGAGCTGAAAAGACTGAGATTCATGAGGGACTCTCACAACATTTAGGATGGGCAGCCTACATTGGGCCAGCTCTACATTGACTCAGGCTCTCCTCCATCAGCTTCACTCTACAACAGCATCTTTCCCTGCCCTTCCTGGAGCACAGCCAGAGAGTAGGGAGAATGAAAGGCCATAACAGGAGACTGGGAAAGAACTAATCTTCATTGGAGATAAGATAGGTCAAAAAGGAAAGCGTTCAGCAATGCAACGGCAGGAAATCAAGGAGGTAAACTCAAACCTAGCACATCATGAACAAATTTCAGTGAAGTGTCGGAGCATGAGAAGAAATGTCAGCTGCTTATCTGCCAACATTAGGAGTCTGGGTAACCAAAGAGGAGGAATTGGAAATTCTCATTAATAAACAGAAATGTTTTTATAATAGCCTTCCTGGAACATGGTGGGATGATTTGCATGATTAGAGTGTTACAATCACTTGTTGCATCTGGGTTAGGAAGGGTAAAGGGGATATGGCATGCTACATAAAAAAATAAATAAATAAAAACAAAACACACTTCAAGAAGGAAATGGAGAGGATTGAGAGAGTCCAAAGACTCCACGCATATGGTTAGAGGTATGGAGAGCAGGCCATACAATGAGAGGTTGAGAGTCTTGGGTCTGTTCAGCCTCGAGAAGAGAAGACTCAGAGGGGACTTGGTGGCAGCCTATAAGTATATAAGGGGCCCACGTCAGGAACTGGGAAAACATCTCTTCACCAGGGCTCAACCACACTAGGACTAACAGTCATAAATTGCTAGAAGATTGCTTTAGATTAAAAATAAGGAAAAACTTCTTTACAACTTGAGTGTCCAGGGTCTGGAATAGACCCCCCAAAGGTGGTATAATCATCTACTCTGGGTATCTTCAAACAACGTCTGGCCGCACACCTTGCTGGAGTCATCTGACCCCAGCAGTCTTTCCTGCCCAAGTGCAGGGAGGCTGGACATGATGATCTTGAGAGATTTCTTCTACCCCTTTTCATCTATGAATCCATAAATGGCTTTTTAGCAGAGAAAGGCAGTACAAAAACCAATGACTGGGGCCTGAAATGAGATCAACTCAGATTAGAAGGTGCAGATATTTTCAACAGTGAATGTGATAAACCACTGGAATGAACTCGCAAGGGGAAGGTAGGTAGTGGTTGTGCATATCTTCAGGTCGAGATTGAGTGCCTTTCTGAAATATATGCATTAGTCAGACACAAAATATAGGATCAATGCAGGGGTACGTGGATGAAATTTCACTGTTTATCATTTACAGTAGCATTACATCAGCCATAAATTCTCTGACTCTATGATCAGAGGTTTGTGCAGCTGCAGCAAACACTGGTGGCTGCAATTGGCAAATACAGACAAGACCATTATTTATTTATTGCTTAGATTTATATCCTGCCCTATCCAAAGGGCTCAGCGGATACTGAGCCCTTTGTTACAGTCAACTGACAAATAACTCACAGATAGGATTCCCCAAACTTGAGACCTTCAATTTTGCCCTGCCCCTATACTACCATTTTCCTGCCTAAACCCTTCTGCCACTATTTCTAAAAAGCTGGATGATGACCTCCCAACTAGCATCTTCCATGAGACCAGCCTCCTCTTACAGCATTTCTTGTTGGGTTTTTTTTAGAGAGGTCCCAGAGTAGAGATTCCCTGTAAAGCTAGATTACCCTAAAAAGTTGTTTTGCGCTGACTTACATTTGTTTTGTCAGGCTTCTCTGCACACCTCTAGGCTCTACACATGCAATTAATGCTATTTGGCTTTACTGCACAGAAGACTAATCTACTGTGCAGTAAGCGCCTGCAAGTCTAGATGGTGATGCTTTAAAGCGTCTTGTGTAGACATGGCCATTATACAGTAAAGCCAACTTCAACTGGACTTTTTCCTGGCAGCTCCAGTCCTATCATCAATTAAAGTAACCAGCAAGAAAGTTCACTTTTGAGGCAAAGGGCTTCAGGCAAAGTGACCATGAGGAGAATGCATTTGGGGAGCAAAATTTTTTTTAAAGGGCTGACGTACATGGTGGTGTGATAGGAGGGAAAATAGGAATGATGAGGGATGAGTGTGGTGTGATTTTCTCAATGGCAAGCTGGCCCACAACTGGCTCCAAGGTCCTCTCCTCCCTCCTGGCAATAAAAATAATAAGATAATAGTCACTTCAGACAGTGGATACAGATTTCTGCTGTATGACAAAAATATGTATAATCTTCAATCCAGTCTATATGATGGGAGTCAGGAAATGTATTCTCAGAATAACTATTAGATCTTTATTATGCTGAGTTAGGAATTAGCTCTGGCAGAAATAAAAAAATTGGAGTCCTTGACTGTCAGTCTCCAAGGAAAGTTTTGTTATCTCGTCTTCTGCCATTCCTTCCAAATTATTGTGGAAACAAATGTTACTGTGAAAATGCTCAGAGCTTAAAATACTCCATCTTGCTGCATGCACCAGACCCAGCAACACTAAAAATCCACATCAGGGCTGTTTGACTTCAGGCTTGGGGCCACACACTGCAGGCCACGTGCCATGGGGGGCTGCATGATGCCCAGGCTTCTTGGGACCTCTTCCATGTAGGCAATGTAAGGCCCCTCTTGCTAACACATGGGCAACATAAGCACCTTCTTCACTGCTGCCAAAGCCCTCCAGTGCTGTGCAAGTAACCTGTCCCTGCCACCCTACTAGCAGTGTGAGCCCCTACTTTGTTGCTGCACAAGCAGCTAGAACCAATCTACCACTACTGGCATGCCAACACCTGCTGCTGGTACCATCCAAGCAGCATGAGTATGCCCTACCACCACCAGTGGGCAGTCACCCACCATGGCCAATGCAGCAGCAGGAACAATAGGGAGAGCGGTGGCCAGGCAGGAGCCTGTGGGCCAGATGTGGTTTGCAGGTCACAAGTTGGACAGCCCTGATTTACACTGAGGGAGTATAAAGGAGCCTGCAAACTGCTGGACAGCCATTTAGCTATTACAAATGTACTGTGATCCACGCATCTATGTTACCTGGGAAAGGCATGTTTTTCTCTATAAGAAACAAGTCATCATGTGACACCATTGACTATTATATAACATGAGATCACATACATGTAGACAGTTACCACATTAACTTATCACTCAGAGACTGAATTATCTGTGGTATGGCTGACAATCAGGGCAAAGCAATGTTAGTTCAAAAAATGAACTTGACTTTCCAAAGAACAGAGCATGTTTTCAAGACCAGTGAAAATTGCTTTATGAATGACCGGAGGGCTGAACCTCATCTAATTATGTACTCCTAGGATAAAGACAGATTGCAAGAATAAACGTGGTACCAGATCTGTCATCCATGAAAAAAGAGACAATCATAATGCAAAGGTATCCAGAACAGTGATGTGGTGTCACTTTGAAAGCAATCATTTTGAGGGAAAAAATGTCATTTTCAGTTACTGACGAAGTATTTAATTAAAAAATCCTACTGTATTCCAACAATGCTTAGCATTGTTAGACTATCACAATGGCTTCACTAGAATCCCCAGTTCAGGGACTCATGAGAAAGAATTCAAATATCTAACAGCTTCTTGATGCAAAACAGTTAGTTTTGAAACAGTGACAGAAGAGCTAGAAAAATAAAACAAGCAGAATGGTAAAATGTCAGACTGCTTCTCACATTGCAATAGGAGCAAATATCATGTTCCAAAAAGAAAGCAAGTTAACTCCCAAAGGATGCTGCTGGCTGGACAAAAACAACACACCTTCATCCTATTGCTGAGAATGAGAAACATCAGAAGCAGCAAATCCAGATGCCAAAGTGCAGCTCTACCTCAGTAGCTGAACTGGCCACAGCAAAAGGAAGTTAGTATAAAAATTAGTAACAAGAACAAAAATATCCAAGATCAGTATTGCCAACCCAAGGATTTTTTTTTTGTACTGACAAATGTTTTACACAATGTAAATGTAACCCTTTTGCCAGGCCCTGCATGCTAGTGAGAGAGGCTGGATTCATACAGGTTTAATAGCAACTTTCTAAATCTGACTTGAGGCCCCATCCAGAAACCTAGGAAAATGATTTTTTTTCCTCCCCCATCCCTGTCTTGCCTAGTGCCTGAGACTACTAAGGGTTGAGCAGCCCTGCCTACTTTGGAAGTGAGCAGCCATTACGGGCAGGCAATGGTGGTAGGGTACAGTGGCAGCATATGGATGGTGGGGGGAGGTATATAGGGCACTTATCCATGTTGCGCTTTTCTTGTGTCCATGTGACAAAAATCATCATTAAGCTAGCTAAATCGCATCTGCAGATCCATGTTGTCAGCTGATTTTATCACTTTAGGGGTTTTTATCATGATCATTTAAATCACCTCCAATGTTTTATTTTTAGCTCCTGAATTTCTTCCACAAGAGTCTTTATATTGTATTAATTTTTCAACATGTATCTGACTTATGGCCGAAAATGGGATTTTCCCTGCTTTCCAACAATTTCACCACCAGGTGCCAGTTGGGTTCACTCTTAAATCCATGAAAATCCATGGAATTTCTCTTGCAATGATTCAACAAGACACCAGATGCTAATCTGGCACATTTTTATTGATTATTTCAGATTGTAATGAAAAATACAATTTAAAAAAATAAAGTTCCCCGTTTTCTCATGCATTTCACTTCTGGCTGGCCTTTTTCCCGCTGCTGCTTTCCCCCCTGCCGCTTATCAGAGCCAGCCAGCCCTGCAACTTTTTATCCTGCTCCTGCCAAGAGTTTCAGGGAAATTAGGGGAAAATATCCTGCTCCTGCCAAGAAATTAGGGGAGGCTCCCAATGGCCATGAAGTCCTGATGAAGCGCTCCCTGCAGAATGCCAACCGGTACTTCTGATCAGATACAAGGTAGCACTGCTCTGCTACATCTGTCCATCAGCATTCATATCCAGCCTCCTTCTGACAAAGGATCTTCAATCAAGTTCATGATTTCTTAGTTTTTTATAGACAGTTTAATTATTTTTATGGACAAGCATTTTAAATGTTTGTAAATGTACAAGTAGTTGTCAACCCTGTTCAAGATTCAGAAATAATTAGTCCCAATTTGGGTTGTGGTTTGTGGGGTGGCGGTGGGTGTTTTTTTTAAATCAGGGGGTTGGACTAGATGACCTGAGGTCCCTTCCAACTCTAATTTTCTATGAAGTGTCCTGGGATTAGATGAAACCCAAGGGCGTAGAGGTAGAAGATTCTCTGTGGAAATCCCATTGTTCTTGAGCCAGCCTTTTCCCCAGCTTATGGCAAGATGGAAATTAATAAAATTAATATCTGAATGACTCCACTTCCTGTTCCTGATCCTTGCCAGGTCAGGCCACTTCCCTTGGTTACAACACTTTTCAAGGCTCTTTGTGTCAAGCCAGTAATTCTGAAATGCAGATTCAAATTATTAGACTAATTGCTGGTTGGATAATGTGGAGCCCCTGGCTGTAGTAGCAAAAGCGCAAGTTTTTATAATACCCTCTGACTGCTAGGGCCCTGCAGTCCAACCCCAAGATGCTCCTTGAGTTTCTCTCAGGTAGGGGGTTTTATCATTGTACCATTACTAATACCCACTGCAAATTTATTTGCAGAGAATAACTTGACTAGTTATGTTCAGCTAACTTTGTAAAAAGAGGTTACATTTTGGAATGGCAGGGAGCTGTGGGTTTTCTCCTCCAAAACCATGACCTTGTCTTCCCTTTCAGTTGAAGGACCTGGAACAAGGAATGGAAAATACACTTTGTCCATTTCAAATCTAACAGCAAATGCCTGTATCCATTTATTTTTGGTATCAGGACATCTAACTAAGGTGATTTTCAGGACGAGATATGACTGTGCTCACTTTGCTCAGATAAACTTCAAGGAATAAAGAGTTTTTAATACACAGCATAACAAGGTCAGTGCCAGACCCCTTTATAATGGTTGTTTTTGACTTTATATAATATCATACTTAGCCTTGTAGAAAATCTCATCCTAGTGGGGTCAGGAATCTGATCGGGCCAAATGGAAAGTAAATGCTGTTGTCTAATCTCATGAGATTCTCCCTGTGATTTCAGACAGAAATGGCTGCTTCTCAAACACAGGCCTGAACCTGGACTGCCCCAATCCATTGGATGATCTCCTGCCAGGACTTTGATTGCTTCAAGGTCAGGGTTTAGCATCAGGGCCTCCCCATATAATTATGGCATTGGAATATGAACCCATAATCTATTCCAAGCCCATTTTGTGTCCATGCAGTATCTCTTATGGTGACCTTCCCCCATGGGTGACTGGTGCCTCCTGAGTCTGGGGTGGGGCACCAGATCACCAACCGG